GAAACATGAGGGTTTTCATGGAGTGATTGTGGAAGCAGGCCACCAGACTGGTCTTAGTTCTTCTTAACCTGGAAGCTCCGCTGAAAGCCCTCCGGCGTCAGGACAACGCGCAAACCTCCACTGACAGACAAGTGGTGGCTGTGAGGGAAGTGATGCGAATTCTACCACGGAACCACCAAGGTCACATTTGTATTGCTTGTGTGTGTGTGTGTGTGTGTGTGTGTGTGTGTTGATGAACTAGACACAAAGGGAGTGTGTTTGTGATTCAGTCCTGCAGATCTCTCGAGTGTCAGGGGTAACTGGAATGGAAAGGTAGGTGGATCCTGTATAAGGAATTTGCAGTTGAAAATGTAATGACAACCACCACTTTGGATGATTCTCATGGGCTGTTGATGTTCTCATCTCTCACAAAGAGGACATATGAAAATACAACGAGATCTCCTGTCCCTCAGCCCACACATATAACAGAGGCAAGGGCCCTCTGAGTTGGAATGTTAATGTATATTCATAGAAGTTAGAAAGGGACATTATTTACCTTGGGAATGCTGCCTGCTCACTGATCAATCATTTGTGACCTCTTAAAGGATTTGTATCTGGTGAACTCCATTTAATGAATTTGTGCCCACCTACCCCAAAACGGTACACATTGACGCACATTCCAAATTTGTGTGTGTGTGTGGGGATGGGGGGGTCTGTCTGTTCAATAGACACAATCATATTTTAGGGTTACTAATGTTCCGACTTACTGAAATTCTTCTGGAATGTTTAGCAAATATTTGATGTGAAATGCAGGACTAGGTCTGATACAAGCTTCTGAGGGCCCCTTTGTCTCTTGTGTAGGTCAAGTGTCACGAAGCGTCCAACCAGAGGTTTGAAATTAGTTCTTAGCTCTGCACAAGATGAGCTCATATCCACAGTTAAACTGAATAAAAAGCTTAGCTAAGATTTGCTGTAAGTATTAGGAACATTTCTGATGCTTATTGATGGCGAGGATTTTCGCTTTCCAAGTGAGAAGTCAG